AAGGCCATGTGGCTTCTTCTTGAAGTTAGAAGCTATTTGGTTGCCTTCGACAAAGACAGCAATCAAAACATCCCTGGAAGATGATTGACGGACCGGCTTTTAATTTTGTCCTCCAAGCAAGGATTTTTTCTCACTGGACCAGAAGCGTCCAACCTCGACAACTTTAAGACCTGTGGACTTCAACTCCCAGCGATGCCAACTGGGAAATTCTGGGAGTTGAAGTCCACAGGTCTTAAAGTTGTCGAAGTTGGATGCCCCTGCACTAGAACCAAACTGAGCTTTTCAAGGACCTCAGGACGCAGTGGTGGGATTCAAAAATATTTTAGTAATGGTTTTGTGGGCGTGGCTTGCTGGGCGTGGTGTGGCTTGGTGGGTGTGGCAGGGGAAGGATACTGCAAAATCTCCATTCCATCCCACACCCCACTAACCTGCTTTTCAGCTCTGTTCTCCTGTGCAGGGCAACCAAAGAAGACCCAGCTAGGACTCAGGAGGCAGAGAATAGATGGGGTTGGCGGGGCCAGTCAGAGGTAGTATTTGCCAGGTCTCCGAACTACTCAAAATTTCCGCTACCAGTTCTCTACAACCGGTCAGAACCGGCTGAATGCCACCTCTGCTCAGGAGGTCGTTCAGCCTAGGACTCACTCCAACATGAAGATGGAGATCTTCCATTGCTCCTAACCTTGGAATGTCCTCCACCACACAAGGCCTCTACCACCCTTTAATGCTACCTTATTCTCAACGGATGTCCAAGATGAAGGTGGCTTTCTGAGCGGAATGCGCGTTTGCAGAATTGTTCATCGTTCTTCAGCAGAACTTGTGAGGGAGGTTAAACCTGAGTTTACAATCTCATGAGCTGGCCAGATTGAGACCAGGGAGGTATATGTGATCCTATCATGCTTTTTCCTGTGAGTGAAAGAAACTCACAAAATGAAAAATGGGTGGGCTACAGATGAGCTGCCAACTAGGGAATTCTGGGAGTTGAAGTCCATACATTTTAAGGTTGAGAATTACCGCCTTTACCTGCAGACTTTAGCATTCATGAAAGTAGGGAGATGGGGAGACTTTCTCAGAAAAATCTCCACAACATTTGCTGCTGACTTGTCTTTTCTCTTAAAGCCATCGAAGGTGAAAACAACCCAATCATTGGAGAGCGATTGTATTCAATGCAAATATTAAACTAACATGCTTTTACATCCAGGCTGTTTCTGATGCTGTTCATTTTGACCTTTACCAGTTTTGGGAGTGAAGTGTTTGTTTTGTTTCTCCAAAGCCAGGCAGTGTAAAAAAGAAAAAGAAAAACCTTGAAAGGAATGTTAAGGGTGAATTCAAGCTCAGCTTCATTCCAGGGATGGGATTCTACCAGTTCGCACCTATTCGCTAGAACCGGTTGTTAACATTCTAAGCAGTTCGGAGAACCGGTTGTTAGAAGAAATTACAGGGCTAATCCTGTAAGGAAGGCAGGAAGGAAACATTCCGGTGTTGCTTACAGAAACTGCCTCTCCGTTAACCCTTATTACATTCTTGGCAGGACTAGACTTCCTGTCTCTGGAACATCTCTGGAGTTTTTCCCCCCCTCCTTTGCTGGTACTTTGCTTGTGTGGAGTGACCATTCAAAGTTACAATGGCACTGAAAAAAGTGACTTACGACCATTTTTCACACTTCTGACTGTTGCAGCATCCCCACAGTCATGAGACGCCAGGCGAGGATATGTGTGCCTCGATGTGAGTGATGTTGAGTTGGCCACACCCAGCCAGTATGGCCACTAAGCCATGCCCACCACCTAAGCCACGCCCACAGAACCGGTTGTTAAAAATTTGAATCCCACCCCTGCTCTGTTCAAACCTGAAAGCAGACTTGTTTCCCTGCCAGGGCCATAGAACGACCATTTTGGATTTGTCAAGACAGCTGATGAAGTGGTGATCCATGAAAATGCATTCGATAACTCAAGTGGTTAATTTTTGCAGGCATTTTGCAAATTCTCATCGGTGTGGCTTGAATATAAACCTGCCTCTGGTTACTAGAAGAAATAGTCTATTCAAAACAGGACGCTTCACACTTTGTATATGGCATGCATGGTATTTGCAGCTGATACTCTCCAGATGCCAGCAGGGTAACTCTGTGTGTGTGTGTGTGTGTGTGTGTGTGTGAAGAGAGAGAGAGAGAGAGACAGACAGACAGACACTTTGGTCTAGTAGTTAAGGTACCAGACTGGAAAGTGGGAGTGAGCACATGAATAATTTGAGCCAATCACTAGGAGACTGGGAGTTCTAGTCCTGCTTTAGGCATGAAAGTCAACTGTGTGACTTTGGGTCAGTCTTTCTCTCTCTCCCTCTGCCCACTCATCAGTCTGTCTGTCTGTCTGTCTATCTATCATCTATCTATCTATCTATCTATCTATCTATCTATCTATCTATCTATCTATCTATCTATCTATCTATCTATCTATTTATCTATTTCTATCTATCTATCATCTATCTATCTATCTATCATCTATCTATCTATCTATCTATCTATCTATCTATCTATCTATCTATCTATCTATCTATCTATC